ACAGGCGGCCGTGTGTGCACATCTCCCGACGGGATGCTGCCCCGGGCTCCCGGGGGGGGCGTCGCACGAGGCACAGAAATAAACCGCAGCTTTCTGGCCCCGAGAGTTCGGACGGATAACGGACCACAAACTTGTGTTTAGATAAAGCCTTCACTATCAGCCCTGGCTGGCGTAGCTCAGTGGATTGAGCGCGGGCTGTGAACCAAAGCGTCGCAGGTTCGACTCCCAGTCAGGGCACATGCCTGGGTTGCAGGACACGGCCCCCAGCAACCGCACATTGATGTTTCTCTCTCTCTTTCTCCCTCCCTTCCCTCTCTAAAAATAAGTAAAGTCTTTAAAAAACAAACAAAAAAAACCCTTCACTATGAACAGATACTTCTAGGTTCAACCTACTGCTGTTCAGAAACCCAAACAATGTCCAGTGTATTAAAGGGCTGCTATTGCATAGTAAAACTTCAAGCGGGAACGGCCCCTTGTATGAGACGCAGTACACACACCCCACACATGCATTTCCCTAACTACGGGGCTGTTCAGTGCCACGAGATTTCTGTTCCTTGTCTGTTGTTTTGTTATAAAACCTGAAAACTGGCACTGAATTTGCACGTGCTGTTGTGCAAGATTAAGTCTCATAAATCGAAGGTGTGCTCTAGTTATTAAGCGATCAATCACTGTTGTATTTACTCCTTTCCTTTCGTAAGAACCCACAGTCTCAGGGAAAAACAAACACCCTCGTAAAGTGAGTTCGTGAGTAAATAAATCACATGACTCACAGCCTTGAAACGTTCCTTTTTACACCCGACCGGGTCATCTAATTCCCAGCAACGAATGCACAGCTCCTGGCCGACTGTGAGGACCAGCCGCAATTGTCTTAGCGACTGCTGTTCACGCACAGGGCACTGACCCCTCGCCAGACCTCATGAGCAAAGGTTTTTTAATTCCCAAAAATTAATACCTTACTTTTTAAAAAGCCTTGGGTGCATCTAAAAAACTGCGCCGAAAGTTAAGAGACAAATGCCCCCTCTGCAACCTCCGCCCTTCCCCGCCCACAGTGAGCAGGGCCTCCTGTGAGCGGGGCCCGAGGCTCTCGCTGGGGCACCGGCAGCGACCTGGCGCTGACCTGGTGCTGACCCGGCGCTGACCGAGCTGCACAGCTCACGCCGGGGCTCAGGGCTCAGCCCTCGTCCCGGGCAGTCTGGGGGGTCGGACGCACACTCGCCGCCCTGCGCCTGCCACTCCAGGAGCACGCCGGCAGGCCCCATGCCCCCGAGTCCTCTGCAGTCCATCGTCCCGTCCCTCCTCGGTCCTCCCGCCGACCCCCGGCAACCACTGGCCCGTCCCCGCCTCCACGGCTCCGCCTTTTCCAGGGCGGCACGGGGCTGGCACGGCGCCACAGGACCCCTGTTCAGACGGGCTTCCCGCACTTGGCAACGGGCGCTCAGGCTCCCCCGTCTGTTCACGGCTCCGTCGCTCACTCCCTTGCAGCGCCGAGTGAGGCCCCAGCACCCGGCGGGACCACGGTCCGTCCACCACGAAGTGAAGGGCACTATTCTTAGTAACTCGACAATCCTCGTCGTGAAAAAGCAAGGCGTACAACTGAATTTGCAGCGCACTCACAGCGATATAAAACACCGTCCAACCAAAGGAAACAACATCAAAGTAGTAGTGGTCTTCAAGGAGTCAAACTTTCCTCCTTTGTCCTTTGTGAGAGATATTCTTAAATCCGTTAATAAATACGCATTATTTTTATAATTTAACTTTTCTTTAAAGAGAACGGAATATACAAGCAAATGACTGAACGTCTCTTCCCGACCCCCCAGCGCTGACCCCTCAAACACGGGGCCGGCTCGAACCACCAGCCGGCGAACCACCAGCTGCTCAACGCCGCGACTGCCCGGGCACCCTGTACCCCACACGCGGTCAGCGATGCTGCCCCCGCCCCCGCCCCCGCCGGGCACCTGTGCGCCGTTTCACCAGCTGAGAGAGAGCAGCTGCCAGTTACGGCGGGAGCGCTCGCTTCTTAGGACAAGAGTAAGTATCTCCTTAGGTCAAACCCCAGACTTTCCTCCCTGTTCACGCCTAAGCAAGTGGCTCTAATCACACTAGAATGTGTGCACGACACATGGAAACATTTACGCCGCGGGACCTCACAAACCCCAAGCTCCCTTCGCCTTCTGGAGACGGTGCTGAGGACCACGAAGAAACCTGCTGTCCGAAATGAACTGAGCCATGAACGAGACGTCCCGAGAACGAGGTTATTATATTCTGAGGCAATTGGGGGGCAGAGCGGGGAGAGGCAGGCCCGCCTGCCGTGCCGTGGAGAGAAGGCTGCCGGGTTCGCCGAGACGAGGGTGCTACACCGACTCCCCCCGCCAGCCCCCCCACCCCCACCCCGGGAAGACAGCCGGCAGGAGGCGGGGCCTGAGGAGGAACACTGCAGGCCACGAGCCCTCCAGGGGCCGAGTCTTCCCGCAGCTCCTTGTCCTCTGTGTCCCAGTCACACCCCGGGCTGGGCTGGGCTCGGCCGGCCTGGCTGGGAGTCAGCGCCGCGGACAAAGAAAGTAGGTTAAGACAACATCTTGTTAACCTGCTGGTGGAACTTGACCTGGAAAGAAACTCCCCAGTCACCTAGAGCAACGCAACCCCACGCCACCCTACAGACCGGTGGCCGCGGAAGGGCGGGACCGCCGGAACAGGGTGAGGCCGCCGTGCCGCCGTCCCCAGGATTCACGCTGCGCACCTGCTCGCCGCCTTTCTGCTGAGCTGTCTTCTGGAGTTTGACGAACAAAGTCCGTCTCCTTTATCGTGGCCTCAGAACAAAGTCCGTCTCCTTTATCGTGGCCTCACATCCCACTTGGTAACATGATAACACGGGCACAACCCCAGCTTCGTACTCTGCATCAAGCACACAGTAGCTTCCTGGGCCTCGCGAGTGCCCTCAGGTGCACGCGACTCACGTGAACCCTGCCATGGCTCTTCACGATGACCCCCGGCTGCTCCGGGCGGACCCCCTTTCACCGGAGAAGCTGACCCCCGGTTCCAGCAGCGGGCAGAGCTCTCCGGCCACCACCCAGCGCCCGGCACGCGGACGCCGGCGGCCGGCGCGCCGGGGACTCGCCCCACCCCGCGACATCCTCCACCTCCAGCACGGCACACCCCTCGCCGCCTGCGCGGGCGTTTACTTACAGAGAAAATGGGTAAACCAAGCCCCACTACGGCGAGGACAGTGCTTGTGATGGTTCCGTCATGGAACGGGTACCGGATGCTGCTGTCCTGACAGAAAAAGCCTCTCTGAAATGGGTATATTTGGCCCAAGTTTAGAACAGCCATAGGCATGGAAGCTGTTGGGGAAGCGAAAAGAGATACACATGGTTACACTGGAGTCACGTCGCTAGGAGTCAAGCTTGCTGCGTGGGGGGCAAATCTGAAACATCTTTCCCTTCCTGGGGACGGATCGATACTCCCCAGAGCCCAGGGTGAGCGCCCAGGGCTGGCAGCCAGCAGCCCCGCCCCCGCCCCTCTCCGCACTGACCTCTGAGTTCAGAGCCACTCAATACGAGAGCATACACGGGAGAATACGGGAGCTCGGCAAAACCGGCCCAGGGGAAAATACGGTGGGGGAAACAGCACGGCTTTGCATTTTTCACTGTGTAGCTAATTCATTTTTAATTGAATTGCTTAATATCTGAAGTACACGCAAGGAAAAAGGAGAAGCACACTAAACACACTTAGTAATCTCAACGCCCTAACAGCCAAATGTGATACAGTTGAGGAGGGGAAAGATACAAAACTCTGTTTCACATTAAAATTAGGATTTTAAAATAGGATTAGAAAACGGTAGAAACCGTAAGAGTAGTCGATAATAAAAACAGGAAGAGGCAAGTCCTCTGTATCCCAGAGACAGATTAAAGATGGTTTTTCTCAGCCCTGGCAAACCTCCCCAGTCACTGGAGCAGGTTAAACAGGAATCGTTTTCATCTGAAATGTTTTACCCAAAAAAGATGAAAACCCAAAGAGAAATCAAAACCCCGCAGCCAGCGGCCTCTGCACACGGTCAGGTTCACCGTGCGCCTCGGCTCTGCGCAGACACTCACGCACCGCTCACTGCACACTGGACAGCGAGCGGGTGCCACACGGGGGAGACAGATCGGTGTGAAGGACAGACACTCTGCGTCCAAGAGCCGAAGTCACGTGTGTGGGAATACGACACACGCTCAGGACGCTGTTTAAAAACTAGTACCTTAGTACCAAGGTGCTAAGCATGTGTCTGAACTCAAAGAACTGTACCACAAACGTGAATTTTACTGTGCGTACGGTGTAAAAGAAACACCATAAAAGACAAAATGGACTAACTTCTGAAATGGTGTAAGACGCCCCGCAGGAACTCAGAGGTGCACTTGAACCTGAGCGGCCGAGCTGGACCCGAAAGCGCAGGGAACGGCCAGGGGCGGGGAGGGCCGGGGGAGAGCTGGAGTGGGGGGGGGGGGGGGGACAGGCAGGGTTGGCCAGAGCACGCCCACCGGGCGCACGGGCGTGAGCGGGGGGTCTGGGGCGCGTGACATTGCACAGCCAGCAGGCGCCGCGTGCCCACACGTGCAGGCGTGGGATCCACGAGGAGCCGCCCTCCCCTCCACGCTGGGAGGTGCGGACCACCGCCCTCCCCACCGTTCCCAGACGGCGCCCACGGTGCCCACGAGACTTCGGGGACGCGGCGCCTGCCGGGGGCCTGGAGGCGGCACGGGCCCCAGCACAGGCCGTTTCTGCAGGCAGCGAGTCCGCGGCCGCCCGGGGAGGCCGGAGGTGGCCGGGCAAAGTCCACGGGCCGGACCCGGGACGAGGACAGAGGGCCGCGGGGGAGGGGCCGTGCTCTGGAGGAGCTGGCTCAGCACAGAACACACGCAACGTTCACACCAACGACCCGAACTTCACGGGACAAAGTCCTCGCTGCGCGTCCCCCTGAACCCTGCAGAGGGGCACGTCTCGGGGGGGGGGCGGGCCCGAGATCTCTGTGTGTGCAACGAGGAGCTGTGTTTCACGACCCCGGCCGAAAAGGGACTCATCCTGCAGGCAGTGAAACAGCACGGCCCTCTCTCCCGCAGGGCCCGCCCGCAGGGGCGGGAGGAATGACCTGCGTTATCAGAAGGGAGCCTCTGCCGCGGCTGGACACGCCAGGAGGGAAGTGGGAGCCGCACTCTGCCGGCGACAACGCGGCGGGCGGGCGCACCAGGAGCAGGAGCAGCGTTGGGACGCAGAGGTGCTGGGCTGGAGGGCGGGCCACAGCCCTGAGGCCCAGTGCGGGGAGCTGGGTTGCACCACTGGAGTGTCCGGGTGGGGGCGCGGGGGTGCGGCGGGAGGGAGTTCCTTTCCCACTGAGGGCCCTGGGAAGACGGCCCTCGGGGTGAGCGGGCACCTTCTTCGGCACAGCCTCCCCCTCCCCCTCCCCCCTCCACAGCAAGGCTCCGACCCCAGGCACCCAGCTGCTGCTGCTGCGGAGCAGGGCAGGTCTGCAGAGCCCCAGGGGCCCCAGCACTCGGGAGGGCTGCCCTGTTCCTGTGCCGGTCGGTTCCTGCGCCATCGTTACTGACTCCCGCCAACCCACGCCCGCCGCCCAGTGGGGTGCTTGCTCTCCCGTCTCCCCTGCAAGCCCAGCGCACTCCGGAGCCGCCAGCCCGTGCCGCCGGGCCCGCGCGTCTGTGACACGAGGGTAAGTCACGAGAGCGAGCCCGTGCAGGCGTCAGCGAGTGGGATGGCCAATCGAGTCTCTTTCTCTCTCAAATAAATTAGAAAATGTATGCATTAGAAATCAATGAGACACCTAATAACTTATCTTTTATTTAATCTGTACTGTATCTTCCCATTATCGTGTAGTCCCCTTACAGTCCCCAATAACTTATTGTAAAAAGTCCAAGAAAGTAGAAGGAACACAGAAACGAAGGACACAGAAAACGAAGGAAAAACCAAATCGACAAAAACCAAATGACTTTTCACCGGTTAATGACCAGTCTTGCTAAAGGCTTAAGAAAAGAAAAGAAAAACACGAATAACAGCAAATTATTAAACTGTTAAGGGCACTGACCATGTCTCCGGGCTGCCTTCATCAGAGACTCAGAGACACTAGGTAACGCGCCCAGGAGCCCACAGCTCCTTCCCCTCACCCCACACGGCCCCTCGGCCTCTCCCCAGAAAGGGCCCCACCCCCCCAGGCTCCGTCCCTCACCCACAGACGAGAAGAAGGGGGCCCTCCTGGGGCCCCCGCCATGCGTGACTCCACACACACATCAGGGCGGCGTGCAGGCCGGCGACAGACCCCCCTCTGCTGGCACCCCCTTCTGGTGCCCCGGGCACCGCCCTCCCGTCGGACCACACCTGGCTGCAAAGGGGGGGCGGGGGGGGGGAGACTCGGGAAACCTCAGCGACACTTGACACAAGAAGGACGCCCAGTGAGGGAACTGCCTCTGGGAGCGGGGTCTCACCGGAAAGGCGGCGGACAAAGCCTGCATGCGCGGGAGAAACCCTCCTCTCCCGAGGAGGCCCGGCGCGCGTGGCTGTGGCCGCTCTCGTGCCTCTTCCCGCGTGCGCACTCGGGCCTAACGGCTCCGAAGTTGCCCTTGTGAAATCTGCCTCCACAAACCCTTTCGTTTTCCCCTTTTAGCCGTCCAAGGTTAAAAGCAAATAGAACTTTTTTTTTTGGGGGCTCTTTACTATTTTGTGTAACCCGGGCAGTTTTTAGAAAGTTCTTTTCATTCCAAACTTAAGGAATGTTCTTTATTTGGCATCTAATTCGGTTGGGACAAAATACATTTTGGGGAAGATGTGATATTTTTCTTGCTTTCTTTAGAAGCAGGTGTTGCGAATTCTGCCCAGAGTCACACGAAACACCCTCCTGCCCGTGGACAGGAGTCGGGCGTGGTTTCTGGACAGGAAGGGTGTCCTCCCCCCTCTGGGAAGGACCACTACATGGCCCCAAGGAAGGCATTCGACGTGTACCAGCTGACCTGAGACAGGCGAGCCTGCCTCCTGGTCAGTGTCCCTGGGCACCTGACGCACGGCTGGACACGCCTCCTGGCGCTGGGGAATCGGACTGCAGGGGAATCCCCGGACGCCCCACCATAAAGGGGAGAGGCGACGCCGTGGGGTTTTATGGCTGTCGCTCAGAGACAGTGACATCAGCTCTGAACGTCGAGAGAAAGAGAAAGCGGACACAGCCAGCCGGGAGGGTGTGCGTGTGCGGGCAAGGGGGGGCGGGGAGCGAGAGTTCTCGGGGGAACGCCCAGCGGGGACAGGGCGCTGCTCCGGAACGCGGGACAGCGGGTGCCTCTCGCCGCCCTCTCACCGCCGTCCACCCTGGCCATGGGCTGGGTGTGGCAACTTTTCAGTCCTTCCAGAACCTCATAAAGGTGAGTAGGATTGCATCACGCCGAAGGCAGAGAGACCAGCCCAAAGCCCTCGGGCTGAAGAAGCAGGTTTCGAACCTGGGCCGACGAGGCCACCATGGGCCCACGGAGGTCACGAGGCCTTAACCACCAGGTCAGAGAGAAGCATCGCAGAAAACCCCGGCCAGCAGGTCCCCAGGGCCCTGAGGCGAGGACCACAGTGCCTGCAGCGGCCGAGGGCAGCCCCGGAAGGCGGACAGGGTGCACCAGGAGGAGGGGAGGGGCGCGTTGAACCCCTCTCCTGGCCAAGAGTGAGGGCGGGGAGAAGCCTGCCGGCGCCCGGCAGGACAGAGGGGCAGGAGGAGACGACCACTGCTCTGTGGTCATCCACGGTGCACGTGCTGCACCCCGCCAGTGGGCCCGGGGGGCGGGTGGGGGCGAGCAGGACCGAGGAGGAGGATGAAGGGAGGAGCCAGGTCCCAGGGGGTGGGAGGAGAGGTCAGCACAGCAGACCTCCAGGGCCACGCAGAAAGGGTCAGCTGGCGTGAGTTATCAGCGTCGCCTGCCCCCGCCGGGAACCGTGAGCACAGCACCGAACAGGCCGCTTGGACGGTCCTCGCGTCCGCACGGCACTGGGACACCAGCCCCAAGGAGGCACGGACAGGCGGGTCCCCGACAAGCGCTTAGCGAACAAAGAGTGGCCCTGAGAAACAGGTATTGTCGCCCCACTCTGAAGACGGGCAGATGACTCACAGAGGACAAGTGAGTTAATGAGGAGAGCCAGACACATAACAAGGGCGCGATCAGAAACACTTACCAACCAGCGCTGCCCCAGCACGCCAAGAGATGCCGGCTCACCCTGCGGGCGCTGGGTGCCACTCCAGCCTCCTAGCTGCGGGACCCCGGGGGCCCACGGGAGGGACCAGGGCACCAGGACACGGGGAGCTGTGGGGGAGGGGAGGACTCGGGCGCAGACTGGCTGTCAGCCCCGGTAGTCCGCGGTGCGCCCCAGACTCCAACATCTTCCTACACGCAGTGGGAACCCCAGCATCTGCTGGGAACGGGGAGTGGGCCGTCGCTGAGGGTCCCGCAGAGCAGAAGAGACGCTCCAACACCTGCCCTGGGGAGTGGAATTGGAGATGCATTCAAGGCTCATAGCTGAGCTCAATCTGCTGCCAGCCAATCAAATTTTTAAAAAATGCTCCAACTCCAGCAGGATAGAGGGAAATGAGGAGTAAGAGAAATATAAATGGACAGCAAAACTAGAGAATGCCTGTGTTTGATCCCAGACGAATGACTGGAATGTGTTTCACTACGAAAGGAAGAGCCAGCCCAGGCTCTGAGCAAGAAAGGGCTCAGGGAGAGCTGTCCTTCGGGAGGGAGAGCAGGTGCGGGACCGAGGGAGACGGGGCGGGGCCTGGGGCCAGGTGGGAGGGGCCAGTGAGAGCAGTTCCCGCCCCCTCCAGTTACCAGCAGTTGACCTGGGCCCAAAGGCATCACATGACCTGGAAGCCCCCCTCACTGCACCCCAGCACGGGCAGGGCGCCCCCCGCCCGCAGAAAGAGGCCACGCCCACGCCGCTGTCCGGCAGCGCACTGCTCCCACCGTGCTGTCCCGTCACTGCCGCTGCCCATCTCCCTGCCTGACTTGCTGACCGGGTGAAAGTGCGTGGGCACGGCACCGAGGTCAGCGCAGACAGGGCTCCGCGGGGGGAGGGGCGCTCTGCCTGGGAGGGCACGTCCCGGGCCGGCTCGCCCAGCTTGCCCAGCACCGGGGCACCCTCGGCCCCGGAGACACCTGCATTCCGGCGCCCGGCCCACCGTCCCCACCTCTCTGTGGCTGCTGTGGTTTTACTATAAAAAGGGCTCCGTTATCCTGCTGGCGTTTTGTTTTGTGTTTCGGTGGGGACAAAAGGGGAAAACGGCAGTTTGAACGTAAGTGACATTTACCAAGGAAGGTTTGCACTTTTTGTGGTTTTCTGTCAATAATTAACTATAATATCCTCAACCTTGGAGTCTCGTGGTTCGTTAAAGATGCTTAAAATAAATGCATCTATACTTACAGAGCTTTTAAAAACCGTTCGCCACAGCCGGGAGGGCGGGTTCTTGTCCCGTGAACCCTGAGATTTCGGCACGGGCACAGGCCAGCCTCCCCGTGCGCGAACGAAAATAAAGTGAGAAGTCGGTCACCTGTTGTCTCCCTCCCCGAGGGCTCCGGGAGCCAGCTGGCCGGAACGAGCGTTCCTTCCACCCCTGCGTGGCCACAGCAGCTGCTCCCTCTTTTCTCAGGCTCCCAGAGGCCGCCGCGGCCAACCGTGCGTCCGCCAACCGTGCGTCCGCGGGACAGCAAAGGGCTGGGGTGGGGGTGGGGGGCTGCCCGCAGGCCGTGGGGAGGGGCAGCCGTCCACTCCCTGCTCTGCTTTCTCCCGGGCGCTTATCAGGAGTCTATTTTGGGCTTCTTTGGTATTTGAAGCCACCACCGCAATCACTTCTCGGCCAGAACAAATTCTGTTGACAGGAAATTGGAGCGGGGGAGGGGGCGGGCAGCGGGGGGAAGAGGCAACAACAGCAGCAACAGTTCAGGACACTGGTGGCGCCTAAGGAGCAGTGAATCACCCTGAGTGGCGCGGCCGGACTCGGGAAGGGCCGGACTCGAAGGGCCGCAAACGGCTGACTCCGTCTGTGCGACGTCAGACGCCGGGAAGGGGCAGGACGGGCCGGTGGCCGCCCGAGGTGCAGGGCGTGGGGAGCGGATGACCAGACGGCAGCACGGAGGAACTCTTTTGTTCCTTCCCTATCTTTTTTTTTTTAAGATTGTATTTATTTATTTTTAGAGAGGGGGGGAGAAGGAGGGAGGGAAACCTCCACGTGTGGTTGCCTGTCCCACAGCCCCCACTGGGGGTCTGGCCCACAGCCCAGGCCTGTGCCCTGGCTGGGAATTGAACGGGTGACCCTTTGGTTCACAGGCCGGCGCTCAGTCCACTGGGCCACACCAGCCAGGGCAGTTCCTTCCCTATCTTGACTGTGCAGTGGTTACGCTGTCTAAGCTGTCTAAATTCATAGACTTGACCCCAAGAGAGTGAACTTTACTATGTGTAAATCTGAAACAAACAAGTGCTGGCTTCTGCCCGCCCCACACCTCCTGCACACTCGACACGGCGACCCGCCCCACGCCCGCCCACCCAGCTACCTCGCACCGGCCCTCGCAGCCTCGGGCAGCTACCCCGGGCCTCCCCCACAGCGGCAGGCGGCCGTGGGCAGAGCTGGGCGCTGCAGCCCCCGCAGCTCAGGGGCCGCACCGCCGACACGCTCCCGGTCCCTGTCCGTGTGCACGCGGGCAAACCGCTCACCGGCCTGCGCTCGGTCTCCTCCCACCGTGAGTGAGCGTGAGCGAACCCCCAGAACTGCCCCCCGGAACGGCCGTGCACAGAGAGCCCAGGAAAGTGCCCAACGCAGCAGCCGGCCCGTGAAGAGGACAAAACACATGCTTCTTCCCGGTGGTCCTCTCCGCCTGCCGCCGACACCACAGCCACTGTCCATCAGGTCCCCATGGGCCCAGGACACACACGGCCCCATCACAACACGCGAGTCACACCCTGCAGTGCTTTCTCTCCGGACAGTAGGACGTCCGTGCGTGGTCTGACCCCCGAGTCCCGCAGAGACCAGCACGCTCACTGCCGGACTGCCGATCGCCAGTTCGAGAACAGTGCGCCCACCTGGGGGGCCTTCCTGTTGACGAGGGGGCATCGGCAGGGCTGGAGGGGCGCACAGGCCAGAACTCAAGGAGGCCGTCCAGGCGGGACAGCCCAGGAAGGCTTCCCGGGGCTTACGGGCCGGTGCTGCTGCGCACGGAGGAGCGGCCCCCGCGCCGCACGCGACCTGAGCGTTAAAAGGCGAAGGGGAGTGCGTCGTGCCGGACGCCGACACCGCCACGTGGACACGGGAAGTGATCTGTGGAAGCCTGCGCTAGAAATCAAACAGTGTTTGCAGCAGCACGCCAATTTTGTCAGGTGTGCGTGTCAAGTGCGCGTTCACAGACATAGAGAAAGCCCTGGAAAGGTTTGGGACCGGCTCGTTAGAAGAGGTCGTCTCTGGGTCATCATGGCGAGGTCAGCAGTGACACCCACTTCGTTTCCTGGGCTTCTTCCAGTTTGCCCACTGGCTACGCTGATTTCAGAACAGCCGGAAATCGACGAATAACTTTTTTTGAAAAGCTAGTCTAGATCTCATTAACGATGACAGCGTTCCACATCCGGCCCTTGCGTACCTGATGCTAACCGCCTGCGGCGACACACCCTGTGTTTCCACAGTCGTGACCGCGACGCGCACGCCAGCTCCGTGAGGACGCGAGACACGCGGAGCTCCTCCATACAGGACACAGGGGAGCCGTCGGCCGTGGCCGGGAACTCCAGGACCGGCACAGCAGCGCCTCGCCAAGTACCAACCGCACGGGTTTCGCAGCCGGTTCTCTCTTCCGGGCTCCCCGGGGCCGGCGCACGCCAGGGGGTCAGGTGGGCTCCCCGGGGCCGGCACACGGCAGGGGGTCGGGCGGCGCGAGTGGGGGAGGGCGCCCCCTGCAGGGCCGTCTCCACAGTGCTCACTCGTCTCGTCCTTAAGGGAGCTGCATCCCGCAGGTCCTGCCCGGGCACGACTGAGGCGTGTGAACACAGCACGGCACGTTCCGGAAGAACACCAGCGGAGTCACTCCTCTCTCTGCACCAACCACGCGACTCCCGTCCCAGAGAGCCCCCCACCCCCGAGGTCCCCTCACCAACACAGCCTCCCTGGGCAGGGCTGGGCGGGAGGGCCCGTCCGGCCCCCCACTCACTGGGCAGTGGGGCCTGCACTCGGCGAGAAGCGTGGAATCCCCGACTCCTCACACTTGTCTGCCGGGAGCACGAGTCCAGGAGTGTCTCTAGGAGGCTGGGGCTGGGGCTGGGGCTGGGGGCTGGGGGCTGGGGCTGGGGGGGCTGGGGCTGGGGGCCTGGGGCTGGGGCTGGGGGCTGGGGGCTGGGGGCTGGGGGCTGGGGGCTGGGGGGCTGGGGGGCTGGGGGGCTGGGGGCTGGGGGGCTGGGGGGCTGGGGGGCTGGGGGCTGGGGGGCTGGGGGGCTGGGGATCGGGGGCTGGGGCTGGGGCTGGGGCTGGGGGCTGGGAGCCGGGGCAGACTTCAAAACCTTTGAGGAGACCGCTGTAGCAACTGAACTGGTAGAAAAGAAATCAGACTGACTTGATTTCCCCATTCCGGTACAAAGTTAGTGATCTCAGGGCTCAAAACATACACGGGAAATAAATAATTGAAAAATCAAAACTACAAATTTAAAAATCTGAGACCTCGACTGCTTGAAGTTCACAGGCCATGACCTCACTGGAAAGTGCACTGTGTATTTTAAAACTCTGAAGTGTTTATGCAGACCCATCACGTCCAGTCTGAAACTATGCCAGACGGCGAGTGTCCAGAAACTAAAACAAGCTTATACTAAGGTGTGTCTCGGAAGGAAGATATAAAAACTCTTACTCCGGCAGGAAGTCACCAAAGTGGCATATCTAAATTAGTAAGCTTTGTCTAAAATACACACACACTTTTTTCAAAAGGCACACGAGCCAAGACAGTTTGGTCAGTTCCTTTTTTTACTGGTCATGATGGCTGCAGCAGCCAACCAGGTATCTGTTTTCCCAGAAACGTGCGCATGAGCCACTCAAGGCACCGGACGCGGGAGGGGAGCTGAAGGCAGGAGGACGCCCCCGGGTTCTCCCTAGGGTGCGGGGCGGACAGCCCGCGCTGGACGGGCAGCACGGCCCAGCAGGGGCCCGACGCCGGCCCACAGCCGCACAGCCCAGACCCCATGGTCCTTGGTGACAACAGCTCCTTGGAGAAGGACAGCGGCGAGTGACTGGCTGTTCTCAGCAAAGAGCGTTCAGTGGGAGCAGCTCGGCGCCTCCCACGCCGCCCACTTGGAATGGAGCCCCTCCTCCCAGGCCAGCCCGTCGCTCCCCACCCGCACGGGGTGGGCGGTCGGCCCCCCACCGCCCCAGGCCGTCCCCGCTCCGGCTGACATCCCCCCCTTATCCTCAGAACCAGAGGTCCCGCAGGCCGGGCCTGGAGCCCTCCCAGAGCCCTTTCTCCACCCAGTCTCTACTTGGGGGTCTTCCCCCGAAGCCACTACACGCCCCCTTCCCAGTCCTGCTCTTTAAGGTGACCCCAACACCCCAGCCGCCCACCCCCCGGCCCTCCGGCCGCCTCTGTGCCACGAGACCCAGGGAGCGCCTGCCAGACCCGACCCTTGCTGCCCTTTCAGGAGAACGTGGACGCTGTCACCACGGCCCCGCTGAGTCACTGCCCTCGGCTGGCTTTCCAGAAATGCCCCCCGGTCTCCGGCGGGTCCCTCCCGGGCGGGCGCTCTTCAGTCCCGCCAGCGCCAGCCAGTCCGTGCGGTCGGGGCTCCTCATAGCTCCGGCCCCCACCTGCCTGCCTCCTCCTGCTGCTGCAGCCCCTTCCCCGGAGGTCCCCGGTGCGCGCGACTGCAGTCACCACGGAGCGCCGCTGCCCCCCCAAACCAAGAGGCCCCTCGTGAGCACCGGCCCCTTCGTCCACACAGAACCCGACACTTCCTCCTGGAGACCTCGAAGGCGCCTGGAACACGGCTCGCGAGGTGCCGGCCCCTCCTGTTTCGGTTCGGGCCTCCCCAGGGCTCCCAGCTCCGCGGTGGCATGGACCGGCCTCCAGCTGACTGCACAGGCCGGCAGGGTCGGTCGGAACAACCCTGACTGCGTCCCCCCAACTGCCCACACCCCACAGGGTGCCCAAGCCAGCCAGCTCCACCTCCGAGAGGCCTCCCAGACATCCGCTCCTCTCTGTCCGTC